TGCCCCGGTGTTTCCAGTGGCCAGCCTTAGAGAAGAATCAGTCTGAGCTGTGTCTGATTTCTTGTGTATTAGACTATTTTCCTTTCCTTTAAAGCTTTGAAGCCTGGCATCAGCTACAGTGTATGAGGCTGTGTTAATGTTCCTAGTACAGACAGACACAGTCATTGTTGCCTCCAAAGTGTTTTCATGCACACCCTTCCTGCTTCAGCTTGCCTCTGAACAGAGGAGATGCCTAGACTTGGTGCTTTTGCCTTCCTCCATATCATGGTTACTTCCATGTACTGCCCAGGCATCATCTTTTCAGTGTCCCAGGGTATGTGCAGGGAGGCTTTCTGGGCAAGATCTCTGGGACATGTGTGGGATTCTTCATTTGAGGATTAGGAGGTGCTTTGTCTTATTCTGGACTCAGCATCTGTTTCTTGGTTGCCTGCAAGAAGCGTTGCTGGAGAGGATGAGGGTAGATTTAGATGAGTTATTAGGAAGACTTTCTTCCCTGTGAGGGTGGTGAGGCCGTGGCACAGGGTGCCCAGAGAAGCTGTGACTGCCCTATCCCTGGCAGTGTTCAAGGCCAGGTTGGATGGGGCTTGAAGAAACCAGGTGTAATGAAAGGTGTCCCTGCCTGTGGTAGGGGGTTGGACCAAGGTGGTCTTTAAGGTCCCTTCAAACCCAAACCATTATATGGAATCCCCTTTTGTCTCAGTTTCCTACAAGACTTACTCCAAGATGTTGGAAGGTATAAAACAAACAAGGAGTAATATTCTTCCCTGGAAATTTAGCTGCAATGCATGCAAGGCTTTTCTCCTCGCTGTGAAGATTCTGCTGCCAGTGTCCCCACAGCTGGAGTGCTTGGAGACATGAGGCAGCAACTAGATCTGGACAACTCAGTTTTTCAGTGCAAAAGTGGTATAAGCATGCGTGCATTTCATTGAAACTTGCCCTTCAAGTTGACATTTTCCAGTGGCGAAGCACCAGCTAGTAAGAAACACAGAGCTTAATCCTAGTTTTAGAGTGACTTACTGCATGACCTTTCAAGCAACCACTTAACTTATCTGAACCTCCATTACCCCATAGAGATAATACAGTATCAGAGGGCTTTACAGATTAAATGGCTCATTGACTCGAAAATCACATTTCTTCCTGAAAGTCATTTGCCTACTTGTTTTTCCAAATGACATCTGGGATACCCCTGCTCCTTTGGATGGTGGTAAAACCCAAGCTGTTTCCCCCATCTGCCTGCTCAGCATAGGACTGGGTGAACCTAGAAGCTGAGCCCTGTGCCAGGGTTTAGGCATCACAGGCAAAGGCTGCTGGGCTGGCTCCTTGAAAGACTCGCATCAGGACCAGGGGACATCATGTCTGTGAGCAGAGAAATATGGCTTACCATCTTGAGGATAGGGCCAAGTCTTGGTGGACCCTGAGCCTTGAGCTAGAGTGATCAGTGCTGGCATTGGGTTTGGGATGTTTACTCTGTAACACCTGGCAGATACACACAATTTTATAGATAATTTCTATTCTTAACTCCCAAGTCCTTTAATGGGGCCATTTCTTTAAAACAGCTAAAGAATTACAATGGCAGATAAAATGAGGGTTAAAAACCAAAGGAACAAACAAAACCAGATATATAACATTACGATAACTGCTGAATTAGAAACTCCAGAAGTTTAAATTGCTGTTCTTATGTATCATATGTTGATTCTGTAAAGCACAACTCAGATTCAGGTCCTGAAGTGTTTACACAGTTTGTAACCTTTTCTTGCGCAAGATAATATCATGGCTGAAGATATTACAGAAGGTTGGAAAACCTAAGGACACCAGTGACCCAAGTAATGCACAGAAACTATTTGAAAGCCTTAACTTATAATCTTCCAATGTATTGAGTAAGAAGTTATGAAAGCAGAAGTTAAATGGATTAAGAGTAATGAAAGGGAATAACTGCATATTAGAAATCATCAGTGTGTAGAAATGTTTGTACTGAGACTCTGCGGGGCCTCTACAGCATTTGAATCAATCATTTTGAAGGATATTACTGTTGATTAAAATGTATAGAAAATCTACTAAAACTGTGATAGCTCACACTGAGCTAATGCTGAATAGCAGTCAGACTCCTACTTGCCCAGAGAAGCTGTGGCTTCCCCATCCCTGGCAGTGTTCAAGGCCAAGCTGGACAGGGCTTTGAGCAACCTGGTCTAGTGGAAGGCATCCCTGTCCATGGCAGGGAGTTGGAACTAGATGGTCTTTAAGGTCCCCTCAAGCTCAGCTCATTCTCTGATTCTGTGGGAATATGGATCATTCATTGACCCATCCAAGAAAAAGAAAGGAAGGCATACAAATGCCCTTGCAAATTTGTCTGTCAGGAGCAGGACAGGCAGGCTGTAACTCGATTTGGGGTCTGGGGAGGGGGGATAAACTGTGGGCTTGATGCTATGCATAATGCAACCATTCAGACATAATGGCAATCAAACCAACACCAGATAGGTTTAATGTCCACCTCTCCAGAAGGTGAAGCGCATAGCCACAAAATCCTCTGGGATCAGAAGAATGTGCCTTCAATGAGGACATTAAGGAACTCAGTCTTGTTATTTTTTAAGATGACTGAAATGGTTTCAATATATCCCACAAGGACCTTTGTGGGAAGAAGATCTTGATGATCATGTCTACGACAGAGTGCTTTGTTCTGGCAGGGAAAGGCAGAGGAACCAGCGGTTTAGTGGGAAAGCAGACAAATCCAATTTGCAAATAAGACCTGTTTTAGCAGCAAGTGTGACTGAACTTGGATGTTCTTGCCAAGGGAACAGCCGGATGCTTCTTCTCCAGATGCTTTCAGATTCAGAATGAGCGTGACATCCATCAGGAGCTATGTTGCAGTGAAAAAAATTAATGGTCTTGGGAAAATATAACTGGCTGAATGCTGACCTGTGTGTACCCAGCTAGAGTTACAAGTTCCCCTTACCCTAGAGTCTACGCAATTATGATCTAACTGACTTACGTTTCTGATCCAGTGTAAGAATTAGCCTCAGACAATCCAGGAGCACTCCTATATCGGAAGAGCAGTGATATGAACCTGAGGAAGGTGTTAGACCTCAGGTGCAGAGTCACACTCTAGAAGTAAAAGGCTCAGCTCTCAGTCACATTCAGCTTAGCATGAAAAAATGAATAGGGAGTTTGGTAAGATTTTGTCTAACAGTTCACAGGCTGACACTTAATGGGCTGTCCACATCTGGTTTAAAACAGTTTAAAGGGGATATTTGTTTCTATAACTGTGGCGATTTCCACAAATATTTCTAAATCATACTGTGTACACGCATGCATCTGTCTTTTTAAGGATATTGCTGGTCCTCTGTACAGAGCAGTGGCAAACAGTGGAACATGTGATGAAAAAAGCTGGGGAATGGCTCAAAGACTTTGTCTTTCCATGGTCCAAGCAGGTGGAGGAAGCTAGGCTGGGTGCAGATCTGCCAGAGTGTGTGAATGTGTCTGTACCAGCACTTGGCAGGGTGTTGGGGTCAGCCCATTACCTGTACCCCTGGGACTTGCATGTGGCTTCAGGAAAAGGCAAACCAAGGTGCTGCCCTACTGCTGCTATGGATTTTATTCTGGGGTTTGGTATTTGAAGCACAAATACCGTATTCAATTGTTTGGCTTGCCCAGTCTTGGATTAACTGGCATAGGGATTTTAGCACACAGTCTAATCATACCAACAGCCACATTCACACTGCAATGTACATTGATAAATCACGCTTTCTAATTGTTAGGAGGAGGCTGCTCTGGCTAATTCAAAGGCACAAACATTCAAATGTCTAGAAATAAGTTCTATTAAAGTTCAAAAATGTCAAAATCATTCAAGCAAGAAGGAAATTAAAACCTTAATATAAAGCCATGAACATGGAAATGTTATATTTAATGCTTTGTAAGTTGAAACTCATGACTGATCTTCCTCACCACTACATGCTGAAAAGCAAAATACAACTTGTAGCTAATGTTGACTGTGAATTTATTAAACCAGGCAGGTTTCAAACCCTTTTTGAAATCTTTAATATTATAAAGCAGCAGCAGCAGCAGCAGCTGCCATTTATAGCATCAGCCTTTCAGGTGGCAGTTCACATTAAACCCTGCCCTATCTCATTGAGCTCAGTTCTCAGCCCTTTTACCTGTGCCTGCAGTGGAAACTCCTGCTGATGTTGCCAAGAAAACTATTTCCTCCCTCCTATTCAGCTGGAATACCTTTAAATGTTAATTTTTTTACTGCCAGTCCATTATCATGTACATGCTAATGTCAGGAATAGGGATGTTTCTCACCTTGCTCCCCAAGGGTTTTTATTTACATATGACTAAATAATTTTGCCTTCCCAACTACAGCAGGTGAGGTAAAGCTTTTAAATTGGATACCTCCAGAAGCAGTACTAACCCGCACTTCACTGTGAGCTTTACATAAGGACCAAACAGGACAGTATTGTCTATGAAGCTGGGGCTGATTGAAGCTGGGCTTTGACTGAGCAACCTTTTCCCACATGTTTCTGGTTTTAGCATGATGGCTTTGAAAGCCCTACTCCATCATGGCTCCTGCAGTACATGACACTTGAGGAAAACTTTAGTGAGTTTGTTATTGCCAACTTTTTTATTAGGTGGAAATTTTGATGTGGAGAAAATAGAAAGTGCAAACTCCTAGGTGGTTGTTAGGGATGATCCAGTCACACCAAGGCATGGAAGAGACTCATGCAGTAAAATGAACTTGCTCAGTTTCAGGCATAAGAGGACAAAACAGCAGAGCTGAAGCACCTTTTCCAGTACAAAGCTCTGCCAGAAGTGTCTGTCTCAGCCTGGATAACAGTGGCAGGAAGGCATTTACACTATGGCTGGCTGCTCACTCTGGCCAAGAATCCTTGTCCGGGTGAAGGCAGATCAGGGCAAAGCATTTTAGCACCTCTGGTTGGGGTGGGCAGCTGTGAATTACATTGACACCAGTAAAAAACCCATTGTGCACCTGGCTTGCAAGCCCTTCACTGAGGATTCCATCACAGGGGAGTGCTTGTGTCATGTACAAAGCCTTGGAGAATGAGTGTCACCTCCAGGTACCACTGGCAACTCTGTTCATGTTGGGGCACTGTCTTTCAGCACAGCTTCATCTCTGTCTGAGGTGCTTGTCTGTGGTGTCTGGTTTTCTCTTTCAATTAAGCACCCTGTTTAAAAGATAGGTGCTTCTTATCACATGTGTTGTGACTGTAATAGGATTAGCGGTATATCTTGTGTGGCTGCTGATATTAATGCTGTTACCCAGGACAATTTATCACGTGTTTGTCTCATTTATTACTGTTGTACCTGTGACAGCCATTTCATTCTTTTTTCTAATCTCAGGGATTCAACAGTCCAAGGCTTCCCTCCTTTTCTTGCACTGGTTCTGTGGTAATCTTTATGACTATAGAGATCCAAGGGAAGGATAAGGGACTAAAAGCCCCCTACATGTTGAAAGCGTATATTGAGGCATAATTGGAAGGTGAAGAAGTGCCAGGTTTCACAGAAATAGCCCTTTTTCTCCTGCATTGGCTGGGCACTCCAGCCCATCACAGGAAGGTGTATGGACAGCAGCAAGACAGTGGGCTGAATAAATAAGTGAAAGACAGCACTGCCTTTGACTAGCTATGGGCAGCTCAGATGCACTCACTGTCCAAGTAGGTGTTGGGTTTGTTTTATTGTCACTCTTTGTCTATGTAAGGTGTTCATGGCAAATTAAAAATACACTCATTTGAAAGCACAAGTTAGGAAGAGCATTTCCAGTGCCCCAGTCCCCAGCTGGCACTGCTGTGTTTTGGATGCTGTTAGAGGTGGTGCAGGGGTTTCATGCACTACCAAGTGAGTGCTGGGCAGAGCAAATTTTGCCTGTGCTTTTCTGAGTTCAGGATCGTGCTGTTCCTGTTGGCATGTGAGTTTCCAGGAGTTATTATTCCAATTCCTTGATACAGAGCTCAGCTGTCTAGCAAAGCTGATTTGGATTATATGAATCCAGAACAAGGACTACAGTGGTGGTGGTGAGACAGGATATTTCTTAAGATCCATCACTATTGTTCTCTGAGTGGAGAAGGTGAAGGGTGAAGAGACCTCCATGAGCAACCTGGAAAGACGGTTGAACTGTGGACTGAGTGTCCTCCGTGAATGTGAGGACAGATTTTAAGAGGTCTATGAATCTGTCTTGTTACCTGTAAAGTTTTACAGATGTTTCTTCATTTTATGCTTGTGCCTTCACAGGAGAGAAGGGTGAGGGGGTGGTCAGAGAGTTTCTGTAATTACAGTGAACAAGCATGATTTAAATGACTCTGGAAGCAGATATTTTCACACTAATTTCTAATTCAAGGTGGCATATTTGAAACTACCAGGTTTTACATTTTAAGGGTACAGCCTTAAAGTCACAATAGAAAAGTCAATTTTTCAAAGCCTTTGCAGGGTGAGACCACAAGCGAAACAGTTTACATCTGCTGAGAACACGATTATTCTTTTAATGATCGTTCAGAGGGAAGTGAAGAGAAAGGTTTGGTTCCTTGGTAACTGATATAGTTCTAATAATCACTGTTATATTACTGGGAAATTTCAAGACTGCTGAGAGGAAAGGATGGGGTGAGGCTGACAAGCTGGGGAAAATGCTTTGGAAAGCCTCATACTGACTTGTACTTAGAGGTTTTTAGAGTGTGCCGTCCTCCCTCCCCCCACCCCTCACCATGATCGTGACCACCAGAGGAGTTTGTGTATCTGGGGTGTAGGAGTCATAGCACACAAATGCATATCTTGCTTTTGCAGTCAAGATGTGATGGTAGAATGGGGCTTTGCAGATGTCCTACCTGAGCAGTAGTTAAGAGAGATAATGTTTGGTGTGTAAATAAATATTGAATGATACCATTGAGGTAACTATTTTCTTTGAATACCACATCAATAGTCGTAATTTGCTGTTGCAGCTGTGATGATACAAAGTTATAAAAGAGGCAGGGCTTGTAGGATAAGGTAGTGTCTTATTAGTCTCAAATCTGTTACATAGATGTGAAAAAAGTTTTGGAGATATCCAAAAGCTTTTCTGATTTTTCCAGCTACATCATATGGCCTAACAAAACATGCTACCCTGCCCCACACAAGCTTTTCTCTCCACTGTTGTCACAGCTGTAGCAACACGTGTAGATGTGCACAAGGGTTTGCTTCCGCTGGTCTGGCAGAAGGTGCTGCTTCTTTGTAAAAACCCTCTCAGTAAATTGGATGGGGTTCATAAAAATGGTAGCCCCAGAAGGTATCTGCAAAAGACAGACTTGCAAAGCTTCATAGAACCAAAAAATGGTGTGGGTGGAAGGGGCCTTAAAAAAAAGCCCATCTAGTTCCAGCCCCCCTGTCATGGGCAGGGACACCTTCCACTAGACCAGGTTGATCCAAGCCCCATCCAGCCTGGCCTTGAACACTGCCAGGGATAGGGCACCCACTCTAGGCAACATGTGCCACTGCCTCACCAGTGAAGAACTTCTTCCTAATATCTTACCTAGATCTCCCTTCTACCAGTTTAAAGCCATTTTCTGCTTGGCCTGTCACTGTGTATTCTTGTCAAAAGCCACTTTTCAGATTTCTTTCCAGCCCCTTTTGGTACTGAAAGGCTGCTCTGATATCTCTCTGGAGCATTCTCTTCTGCAGGCTGAACTCCAAGTCTCTGTCTGACTCCATACGAGAGGAGCTCCAGCCCTCTGGCAAACTTTGTGGCCTCCTCTGGATTTGCTCCAACACGTCCATATCCTTCTTATAACCTGCCTAGTGTGTCTGAGGGATATTTAATATGGACTTTGCTCACAGTCTACCAGTAGCTACATGGAGAACAGCTTGTCAGTGGTAGGAAAATCTTTAATAGATACAAAAATGCAGAATAAGTCTATGCAGAGTTTAAACCACAAATGGAGAACTGGCCCCAGCAAAGAATCCAGCGGTTGTGCTCAGCCACAGGCTTAGCCTCATCCCCTGCTCTCCAGGGAAATGCCAGGGCACAGCTCTGGCTGCAGATGCCCAGTTATGAGGAAGCTTTCAAGGCAGTGATTATGCCAAAGTGCTCTCCGTTGGGTCATCTCAAACTGATTTTTATTTTTCTTTGGCAGAAAATACAAATTGTTTTGCAATAGTCTGGTGCTGACACATTTAAACCAGTAAATGAACAGTGGGTTTTGTGAGTGTAAGGAGCTACCACTCCCTCCATGCTCCATACGAATGCTAGCCATATTGAACACCATCAGGTCCCCAGATCTTTCAGCCAAGCCATGGAGCACTCTCACTGAAGCTACACCTCATTCATCACCTAATGAATCTCCTGACACAAGGAGACATAGGTTTTTGAGACTTTTTTCCATATAGTTTCCCAAGAGCATTAATGCCACCAAAGATGAACGCGTCCAAGCCTGTCTCCAGTGTGCTTTGTGTAGGCGAGACTGGAGGATTGCATTTGGCTGATTAATTTGAGGTTGTGCTGTGCATTATAAGAGAATAATAGAGGTCAGAGCTTGTCTTGAGCAAGCTTTGTCTTTCTATTTCTGTAGATTCTGTAGTTTCTTCCCCCTCCTTTTTTAAGTTTTTAGTGGTGGTATGCCTCTTCTGCCTTGGAACATTTTATGGCATGGAGTTATAACCTTTAATCCGCCAGTGTCTTCTCCCTCATCTAGCCAAAAGGCACAGAAAATGCCAATGTTGCTAAAATGCAGCTAATCTGAGGTTGTTAACATTTTCTTTGTCTTTTGCCTCAAAGGAGGAGCACAAGCTCTGAATCCCTCTGCCATGTAGAGAAAAGCAATTTTTCATGACAACAACCAGGTCAGAGTTGACTAAACTCACAGATTTGGATCCAGACCCCTAGAAGAGCAGCTTGGAGCCCTGCCAGCTGTATGGATGTGCCATTTGTGGGCACTGCTTTTAAGCCTCTTGCAGCGAGTGGGAGGAACCTTATCATTAAGCAGTTTGTTGCACGTGCTTCATATTCATTGCAAAGGTTGATAGCTTTAAAAGAAAAGTGCTGACAGCAAACTTCAGCTTCCAGGGTAGGAAATTTAAAATTTAAAAACAAAACCTGCAGCAATGAAACTCTTGCCTGATAATTGCACTGTTTGGCTTTTGGCAGCTCTGATTTTGGCTTTGTTGCACATGTATCTCTCCATAGCAGGACTGTCCTGCAGGTCTGAGTTACTTTCTCTCCCAGAGGTACTGTTTACATTACTCTGGAGCTACTCAGTGCTATCAAAGCAGTGCAATCAGTGGGAGCTTGAAACGTGTATCCCGAATTCAGAGAAAGGGTTTTAAATAACTGGCCATGCTTCACTGCATCCAAACTAGGGTTAAGCAGGGATTATTTAGCAGCACTAGAAAACACTTCTGCTCAGCTGGTGAGTAAAAGAAGAGACCAGTTTGTGCTGAGTGTTTAATGCTGCCTTGGAGGCACAGATGGGAGCCAGATGGAATAGACAATTTTCTACTCGGACCTGCAAGATGAATCTGAATATGCACATGTCCAATAATCATACCCTGTAAACACTCTGCTAGCATGTGCAGGTAGAGATAACCTCCCTGGTACCTCCCTCCTGTGCATGGTACCTGTTGAAAGCCCAGCTCTGGAGGTTGCCACTATTACTGGAAAATGTCCATAGCCTGAACACTGGGAGCAGCTACCTATGTCAGCACCCACTGGGGTTCAATTGCAGGTGGAGCTAGGGTGAGTATCCAAGGAGATTTTTTAGCATATATTTTGGGTTGCTGCTTCCTCCTCCAGGATAGGTGCCTTGAGGGTCCTGGTATTGTGGGATCTCATCTGTAATGGGGTGTAGCGTCCCAGCATCTCTGTGGTAGCTTGAAGCAAATCAAATACATCTCTTTTTTTCCTACTTCATAGAAGACTTCCAAGGGTGTAAGGAGCCTAAAACCAGCTGAGGCATTTTTAAGTTCTGAAATTCTATTCTAAACATTTTCAGAACATTAAAAAAAAATATTTCTAGTCTTTTAGAGGGTTTGTTTTATATGCTTTTTGTTGTTCATGCATTATTTTATGAGACAGCAGTCAAATCAATGACTTGTCATAATAGGACATTATTGCTGAAACATTCTCTTATTTTAATGCCATTTATAAAAATCAGCAACTATGACTGATCAGTGCTGATTAAAATACATAATCTTCTTTCCTGTATCGAGATGTCTCTGCTGTTTGGAGTAGTGATGGAAGGGATGGGTGTTTTGTTTGTTGTAAGCTTCCTGTGCACTGGAGAGGTTTAGAAAGCTATGGTCAGGTCATGAGCTGTTGGTTGTCTGCAGCTAGCACAAAGCCTGTGCATATTCCACACTGAGTGCCCTGGATAATTTTCCAGAAATCAAACTTAGGGCCTGTTTCTGATACATGCACCACAGACTTGCTAGGTGAGCGGATAATGCCATACCCATTATCAATGGCCAAGAAATGCCAAGATGAACTCAATCCCCTCTCTAAAACAATATTGCCTTTTGTTTGCAAGACACATGCGTTTGTACTTGTGAGCTGTTCAGGTATTGGGGGAGGAAAGAGCCAGTGTAGTTGTGCGGTTTGGTGTCCTGTGAGCACAGTGTTTTGCATTGTCTGGAGGTCAACGTCCAGAGTGAGGCATTATCTGAAATACTGACAATGCATTGCTGAGTGTCTCACTCAGCAGTGCAAGCTGAGTGGGACAACACAAGTAAGCAACCCTTTACTCCTCATAGATCAGAGATACTATGCCATGTTAGTATTGCCCTTTATTTCTTGGATGTGAAGCATGGGGCTGAGTGGATGCTTCCTTACTGCATTCTTGGCGAGTGTAGAATGATGTCTGGTACAGCTATATGCTCTTGACTCCATCGCTGTGTTTTTTGAAGTGAATGATAGCATGAGCAAGATGAACATATATTTGTGGTTGTCTTTCAGAGGCTGCACCGCGATGAGAATTTGAGCTGTTCAAAGGCATCTAAATGAGACATATGTAATTGATCGCGACACTTGTGTTCCCACTGTAAGCAATGCCCCTCTTGTCTCCTGGCTCAGTAGCTTTCTTTGATTTCATGCGAATCTGTCACCTGCTTCTGTGATACATTTCCTCATTTGCAAAAAGAGGTCTTGCTGCTACACTAATCTGCTTCTCGTGTTCTCCATTTTCATTTTTAGCCCTTTTGCTGTTTCATTGTTTTTGGGGCATAGGTGGAGTGAGTGCTGGGCATTGGTCTCTGTGGAGTTATGGAAGAGCAAGGTCAAAACATGACACCAGTTCCACTTCTTGTACCTTTTCCAAGAGAGCCCTCCTGGGGCTCTTTCTGTTCCACCTTGGGTTATGAAAAACAGTGCCTTTTTTTTTGACTTAAAATGCAAAAGTAGGCACTACATCTTGTCTCCTAAGAAAAATGCATGCTCTGATTTAAAAATGCCCTTGTGTCACAATTTGTCCCTTTGAGCTCAGCTCTGTATGAGTTTTTCATATTAAAATAGTTGTTATTTATTAAATCCCTGATAAAGCTACACTTAAAGCTCCCATTATAGAATATGCATCTTTAAATCTGCTGAATATGTGGTTTGTCACTGATGCAAAGTGTACTGATTAATTAAATAAGACTTAGAGATTCATAAAGCAATTGCTCCAAAATGAAATGTTATTTACATCTAAGTATATTAACGATTATGGAAACTTAATTTCTCCCTTACACAATCTGTCTTGAAATTCCACTGAAATTTTAGCATTCTCATGATTTAATTATTTAAAATTCATTTTCAGTATTAAATGCATTTGCAAAAAAAGAATCAGGAATATTTTTCAAAGTAAATATGGCTGGTATTTTGCATAATGGCATTTTTACAATTATTGGGGGGAAGACAACAATGGAATTAAAATTCTGTATGAATTTCTGTCTGTTTTAAGGTGAATATTTTAACTGCCATAACTGTAGTATGTGAATCTAAAAGGTCTTTGTATTACAATGAATTTTTGGTGCCAAAATAGTTGCCTATCTTGCTTTCATGAGTTTTGTCTCTGAGTTGTCTCAAGTTCTGCTGACACTTGCTTATTATCTATTAACAGTTTACTGGGTGGTTAATCAGCCAGCACCAGGCAAATTCAATCCTTTATCAAGCACTTTATCAAGGGTTCATCAAATGGTTGGGAGACTGCTGTTAGTCTAATGACACCTTATTGGCACAGCTGTATTAATTCAGCTATAAAAAGACAACACCTCATTCACTTGGTTCCTGTTTTCTCTTTTTCATGTAAATGGAAAATGAGTGATGCATCACATAGCTGAGTCTGTCCTTCACTGATGTCTTTGCCCATGTTTCCTTTTTATGTAATTTATGTTTTAATAGCTAGAAATCTTAAGGTCTGGAAAATGTTCAGGATTTCTAAGACCTGATGAGAGTTGATAGGTGATGTCATTTGGGAAAACATTAACCCAAGGTTTGTTCTCTAGCAGAGGAGTTTTTCTCACTCCTTTGATACCGGGTTTGCTATTGAATGGTTCCCAACAACATCTCCTTCTTCTGAATCTCTTATCCAATTATCACTTACAGCTCCCAAGTTCATTAGAGGGCTAGTTCCCAGGGCCTGGCTTACAAACATCAGCGAAAGCCTGTAGAAGCTGTTCTCATTAAGTGTTTAACATAAAGGTACAACCACTCTCAAGCCATGCATAACATTTTTTCATTAAATCATTTGTTTATTAAGTTAATCAATATGGCACAGTTCTGCTTGCTTCTAACTTGTCCTAACAATGCTGGTACTCTTGTTATGAAGAACTTCTGTTTTTACCACTCTCCATGTGGGGACCTGGGTATGTCCTTTGTTCTTTTTCTTCTTTCCTGGTAACACTCTTTGGGCTCACCTCCTACTTCGAAAATATTTCCTCACTTAGATCAGGAATTGCTGCCTTGTATGTGGCCCCATCATCCTCCCTACAGCACTTTGTGGAAGGAAGCTGTGCCCCACTGCCTCCACTGGTAAGGTATGGGTGTATTTCTTCCTGTAGACCTTTTCTCCAATATATTCAGTCCTTCTCTATTGGACCTTGTTGTGAATACTTGATACTGGTTCTTGATACCATGGGAGTGAGATTTGAGTGATTTTGAATTTCACTCTCCTGTTTTCTGTATTACAGAGAAGAATTTTCCATAGAAGTGGCAAAATTAGAGTTGTTCAAAATGAATGTGTCTTGGTTTAATGTTTTCAAAAAATATTTGGAAAGCATTTTAATTTCTCTGATTGTGATGGTGTGTAACGTGAACTATGGTGTGTAACATGAAACACTTGATCTTTAAACCAATTCAGGTTCATCAGCCTTTTAAAAACAGACTTGCTTGAACCTGTGGATCCTGTTTTCTTGGCCCCATGCAAGGAGTAAGTCGTACCACAGTTGCACATGCTATGGATGTTCTCCTCCATTGCAAGAGAAACATCTCCTGCTATATGATGTGTCAAGGAGCATGCACCAATGCTTGCAGCACCTGTTAGAGCTGGAGCAGCAAAGCGTTTGCATGTGAAGGATGCTGAGCACCTCTGTTAAGTGCTGAAATGCTTATGCTCCTTCTGCACTGACCTTTTCCAGCACCTCAGCCCTTTAAATCTCTTCTCTCTTATGTGGAATACTGTGCTGCAAATGTGTACTAAGTAAATCTGTCATAAGGTTTTTTTATTATACAATTCTGATCTGCAAGAATGGTAACTAAGCTGTTTAGAGTCATTGATTGCTATTGAACTAATGAGCCAAATGCTAATCAATTCTCTAGGAACTGCCATGAAAAGCTATTACACCTCCCACAGTGCCTGCACTGACTGCTTATTGGCAGAGTGTTTGTGTTATCTGCCTCAAATTTCACCAGACAGACTATAATAATCTTGGAAAATAATTTACCGTGAATGATACTATAAGGCATGTCTGAGAATGATGAAAGAGGATGATGCCAATAAACTACTGCATGGAGCCTTCTTTAATTGTAGATGTGTATTTACACACTGCATTGTTCTGTTGCCTCTGCCTAATGCATACCAGGGCATGTGAACTAGGTGGATATCTTTACCTGATATTCTAGCATGGGAAATGGTGTAGATCTACTCTGAGGCTTCAGAAGAGAAGCCACGGAAATTTGGTATACAATCTGGGGAAGTGTGGCTTGGCATGCAAGATAGCAAAGGTGCTAAGTGTGGAGTGGCATTAGGTAGTTCTTGTAGTAGGGCAACAAAGATGCTCAAACAGCTGGGGCACCCCTCCTATGGAGACAGGTTGAGAGAGCTGGGGTTGTTCAGCCTGAGAAGTCTTTGAGCACTTTAGAGCTGCCTTTCAGCCTAAAGGTGTGACAAGAAATCTGGAGAGGAACTTTCTAGAAGTGCCTGTAGGCATAGGACAGGAGAAAATGACTTTAAACTGACAGAGGAGAGATTTAAATGAAACATCAGGAAGAACTTATCTTCTGTGAGGTTGGTGAGGCACTGGCACAGGTTGCTCAGAGAAGCTGTGGCTGTCCTATCCCTGACAGTGTTCAAGGCCAGGCTGGATGTGGTTTTAAGCAACTAGGCTTTGGTCTAGTGGCAGGGGGAATTGGAAGTAGATGGCCTATAAGATCCCTTCCAACAGAAACTATTCTGTGATTCTATAATAGTAAAGACCACTGAGATGGCTGTGGGAGTCTGGAGTGGTATTTTCAGCAGTGACATGAGCACATAAAGATCAGAGGTAGGAAAAATGAGAGGTTTCACCAGGGAGTGTGCAGAAGTTAGGGGTTAAGAAAAGGGTGGAAGTTAATAGTGAAAATAGAAGACTATCAAATTTAAGAGTCATGATATATTCATGCCACCATCTGGGAGTGGATTAGTTAAATACAAGTGGAGGAGAATATAAATAGCTCAATCAGTCTGGGTGTAACTACAAACCTGCAGTCTCACCCTGGAATATATTTCACACAGCATTTGTAGACTGGCAGGATGGAAGTTACACAAATCAGTCAATAGTGAAAAAACAGTTCTCTGGGATCTGGATTCCTGAATATATAATTCCAATCTAAACTGGCTTTGGGAAGTGCTCCCAGAACATCTTGGCAAAGGTGGAGGGTCATCTCAAGCCTGCTGGAGCAAGGTCTGGCTACAGAGCCACTAGTAATGGCAGACAAGGATGTAAGAGGATAATATTTGAAAAGAGGATTATAAAGTGGTAAAATTAAACATAGGCTGAAAATTACAAGACACAGAAGCAATTCTGCTTTGTTGTTGTTATCTCAAGAGACGTCAGTGTGGTTTTCTCTTTTCCATCCTCCAGCACTGCCTCCTACCAGAGGTGTGTTATGAGGCTGGATTTGCCTCTATTTCTGCTGAAGACAGGTGCCCTCCAGTGTGTCTGTGCCCATCCTCTTCCTCCCTCCTTTTCCTTGCTCTTCCATCCTATGGGATGAGATGTTACGGCACATGGCATTCTTGGATCACACGCTTTTCCCGTCCTTGTTCTCTGGGACAGAGATGATTGTGATGTCTCCCTTAATTAGCACCCTCCCTCTAGCTGAAATGGTTTTAGCATTACTTACAACATTTACAAGATTCTCACTAGACTTAATTAGCCATATGCCATGAGATGTATGATCTGTACACACTTAATTCCACATATAAGTTTATTCCAGCTTTCCATACGGGCCATGCCGTCATATTACTTGTCACATAAACCATGATGTGGTTTGCACAGATGTCATATACTCTTGGCAGTTGCTGTTTCTTTGGTTGCTTCCATCAGTCTGTACTCCTCAGTCTCCTATGCCTTGAAAGCATCTGTTTAACTCCCCCACTGTATTATAGTATTAATTGTGAGCTAAAGTATCTACTCTTAAACTTCTAAATCAAACTCAGCTATAACTGTAGTATCATCCTTCTTCTATTGTTTTTTTTTCTTTATTAGCCAGTATCTTTGAAACTGAACCAAACTGATAGTGCATTTTCACAGATAAATATATTTATATTTGTCTTAGCATCCGAAACACCGATTAAGCTTTATAGAGTTTTGTACCTCAGAGTTTAATTTTACTAAACATTGATATAACAAAATTGAAATATAATGTAATGTCTTTGCTAAGACAGCTGAGTTTTCCCACCCACAGTTAATTGCATTGTGTTGTTGATTGTTTTTTTTTTTAAGCAAAGTGGAAAAAATACGCAGGCTTGACTGAAATGGGCTTGTGCGATTCATGTCACCAGCTGATAAATCCTAGGACAGTTGCAAACACTTTCATGTGTTTTCTCAGCAGCCAGAAAGACGGTGATCTGTGGCTGGACAGCACATGCCTGAGCTCCTGCTGGGAGGAAAGCATGAGCCTCACTGAAATGGCAATAATTTTCCTGGGTTGGCGTATCTGATGACACCATCTGTCTGGTGCTGCAGGATGCTGCTGTAGTTCATTGGCTATTCATACCTTCAAACACCTGCCTTGGGAGGAGTCACCTTGTTCAGTTATCTGCCCACACAAAGATGTAGGTCCCTGGGCTGTAGGACCCAGCTCACCCTAAGGTTCCTTCACTGAGATAGCCTGAGAGGAGAGAGTCCCAAATGATGAATCTTTGTGACTCCTGCCTCAAAGTGGAGCTGTAGGAAAAATACATACCATGTTACTCACTCACAGTAGCAGCTGTAAGAGTGAAGGAGCCATGGTAGCTTCTGTGACACCAGGTACTGTTCTTTCAGAAA